AAAAAACCTAAAAAAAAAAACACGAAAAAGAAATGGTCTCAGGGATCCCTCTGCGAGTCTGCGCAAGCTGAGGGGGTAGGTCCCAAGCCGCATAGCACTGCCCGGCCAGAACGGGCTCCCAACTCGAGAAAAGGAAAAGAAAACAAACAAACAATTCAAAACAAACAAACAAACAAAAGCCCCGGGATCTCACCAGCATGGCAGCCCAGACCAGGAAGCGTTTCCATACTTGAATGGAGCTCCACAGCCCCTTAGGAAGAAGCAAAGATGGTGCACAGAGCCAGGTATTTGAGTGAAAGGAGGGGGAGGTGGTGAGAGGTAAGGAAGAAATTAAAAGAAGCGGAAAAAAGCAACACCAGCAGCCAACAAATGGCACTCAGGGAGCCGGCCAGTGCAGGCGGGTGTAATCCAAGCAGCCGGTGCTTCCCGGCCAGGTGACTGTGGCCATGGGAAGCAGAGGAGGCCGAGTGGGGGTGAGGAAGGATGGGGGGTGGGAAAGCATATATCGCAAATTACTGGTTGTTCTGTCTCCTGCTGGAAGCTCTGTAAAGCTGCTTTCTCGTACCCCCTATTTGCTGGTCTCTGATAGGAGTCCAAGATGGCGGATCTGCACTGCATTAGCTGATAGGGGACCTCTGCATGAACCTCTCCTCACTCTCCGTTCTCTGTCAGTTTTCTCACTCCATTTGGTGGTTGGTTGAGTTCTTTATCCCTTCATTTGATGTTTTAGGTTTCAGGATTGGTGTTTTCTCTGTTTGGCTTAGTTTCTCGGGTCTTTGCTGTGGAGGGAGAGTGGGGTGCTTCTGCCTAGAGCGCCATGTTGCCAGAAGCCCGCCATCAGTTCTTGATCATATGCTACCTCCTGAAATGGTTGAATGTCAACCAATTCTTTTTGGTGCAGTGACTCTGTGTATTCCTTCCATCTTCTTTTGATGCTTCCTGCATCGTTTAGTATTTTCCCTGTAGAATCCTTCAGTATTGGAACTTGAGGCTTCAATTTTCTCTTCAGTTCTTTCAGCTTGAGAAATGCCAAGCATGTTCTTTCCTTTTGGTTTTCTAACTCTAGGTCTTTGCGCATGTCATTATAATACTTTACTTTGTCTTCTCCAGCCACCCTTTGAAATCTTCTGTTCAGCTCTTTTACTTTATCATTTCTTCTTTTCATTTTAGCTACTCTATGTTCAAAAGCAAGTTTCAGAGTCCCTTCTGACATCCATTTTGGTCTTTCTTTTCTTTCCTGTCTTTTTAATGATCTCTTGCTTTCTTCGTGTATGATGTCCTTGATGTCATTCCACAACTCGTCTTGTCTTTGGTCATTAATGTTTAATGAGTCAAATCTATTCTTGAGATGATCTCTAAATTCAGGTGGAATATACTCAAGGTCATACTTTGGCTCTTGTGGACTTGTTCTAAATTTTCTTCAGCTTAAACTTGAACTTGCATATGAGCAATTGATGATCTCTTCTGCAGTCAGACCCTCGCCTTGTTCTGAGTGATGATATTGAGCTTTTCCATCGTCTCTGTTCATAGATGTAGTCAATTTGATTACTGTGTATTCCATCTGGTGAGGTCCATGTTACAGTCACCATTTATGTTATTGAAAAAAAGGTACTTGGAATGAAAGAAGTCGTTGGTCTTGCAAAATTCTATCATACAATCTCTGGCGTCATTTCTATTACCAAGGCCATATTTTCCAACTACCAATCCTTCTTCTTTGTTTCCAACTTTCACATTCCAATCACCAGTAATTATTAATGCATCTTGATTACATGTTTGATCAATTTCAGACTGCAGAAGTTGGTAAAAATCTTAAATTTCCTCATCTTTGGCATTAGTGGTTGGTGTGTAAATTTGAATAATATTCGTATTAACTGGTCTTCCTTATAGGTGTATGGATATTATCCTATTACTTACAGCATTGTACTTCAGGATAGATCTCGAAATGTTCTTTTCGATGACGGATACCACACCATTCCTCTTCAATTTGTCACTCCCGGCATAGTATACCATATGACTATCCAATTCAAAATGGCCAATACTAGTCCATTTCAGCTCACTAATGCCTAGGATATCAATGTTTACGTGTTCCATTTCATTTTTGATGATTTCCAATTTTCCTAGATTCATACTTCGTACATTCCATGTTCCTATTATTAATGGATGTTTGCAGTTGTTTCTTCTCATTTTGAGTCGTGCCACATCAGCAAATGAAGGTCCTGAAAGCTTGACTTCATCCATGTCATTGAGGTCAACTCTTCCTTGAGGAGGCAGCTCTTCCCCAGTCATATTTTGAGTGCCTTCCAACCTGAGCGGCTCATCTTCCAGCACTAAATCGGACAGTATTCCACTGTCATTCACCAGTTTTTCACTGGCTAATCTTTTCAGAAGTAGACTGCCAGGTCCTTCTTCCCACTCTGTCTTAGTCTGGAAGTTCAGCTGAAACCTGTCCACCATGGGTGACCCTGCTGGTATTTGAAATACCGGTGGCATAGCTTCCAGCATCATAGCAACATGCAAGCCACCACAGTTCCAAAAACCAACAGATGTGTGGGGATGAATTGCCATATGACCCAACAATTCCACTCCTAAGGTATATACTCAATAAAATTGAAAACATGGACTCAAACAGGTACTTGTACACCAAAGTTCATTGCAACAGTAGTCACAATAGCCGATAGGTGTAAATAACTCAAGTGTCCATCAATGGATGAATGGATAAACAAAATGTGGTATATACATACAATGGGATATTCTTCAGCTGTAAAGAGAAATGAAGTTCTGATATATGTTACCACATGGATGAACCTTGAAACCATTATGCTAAGTGAAATAAGTCAGACACAAAAGGACACATATTGTATGATCCCACTCATATGAAATATTTAGAATAGGCAAATGCATAGAGATCAGAGTAGATTAGTGGTTACCAGGTGCTGGGTAAAGGGGGAAATGGGGAGTTATTACTTAAAGGGTACTGAGTTTCTGTTTGGGGTGATGGAAAAGCTTTGGAAATAGTACTGATGGTTTCACAACATTATCAAGGTAATTAATTCCACTGAATTGTACACTTAAAAATGGTTAAAATGGAAAATTTTCTATATATTTCACCATGATAAAAAAAATACTCTTAAAAAAAAAACTAAAAGAAACTTCCCACTGTCCAAGAACTGGCAACAGAGTAGCAGTAGCTCCTATGTTTGAAGATAAGGAGGATTTGATAGGCTGATCATCTTAAGGGATAAGGTCACACACCCTGCCCTCTTTGCCTTACCCTACCCACAACTGACCTGGGCTCAAGAGCAAATTTTGTTGACTTCATGTGATAGTACCTCGGACCTAAAGGAGCCTTCCCAGAATACCTTTGCTCAGACTTGAAAGAACTAGGAGAATAGGGGAAGAACCACTTAGGGAAGAAGAGACCCCAGGAATGGGCCAGGATAACAAGGACGGTAGGTGGTAACTTTTCCTATTTATAGATGGGTTCACTTCTCTTTCCTTGTCATTTTATAAGAAAAGATTTGTGATAAGGGTGCCTGCTCCATCATCTCTGAGTTCGAGGAGTAAGCAACCTTTTTCAATTATTTCTGTTTTACTTCTAGTTTAAAACCTTCAATAAAGGGAAGAAAACCAATATCATTGATTCTATGCTTCGGATGTTACAGCAATATTCTAGCAACTTGGAAGATTTGATCCGGGAGCGGACTGAGGAGCTGGAAATTGAAAAACAGAAAACAGAAAAGCTTCTAACACAGATGCTACCACCGTATGTGTGAACACCTGAGGAGTGTGAATCCTTATAACAGTGTGTTCTATTAAAAAAAGAAAAAAAATGCCCATCAACTAACTACCCCCTCCCCCTGTCCGGTACCCTCTCTACCCCCAGTAGGTTTGAGTCACACCTTCAAATCAAAGAAGAATTGGAAACCAAGGGAGCAGAGCACACATCCTAATTTTCCACAACCTGTGGCTCATGCTGGTCATTTAAGTTTTTGGTGCCTTGGTTTTTCTATATGCCACTTCATGACTTGGCTGGGAGGTTGACCAATTTAAAAAAGCAGTTCTTTGAGCTCCTAGAGGAAAGTTGCAGGATTGTTTTTCCAGGGTTTTTCCCCCTTAGTTGAAAACCTTGCCCGTTGCTACAATTTTCAAATTTTCCAGGGCACCTTATCTTGTTATAATGTGATCTTGTAGGCGATAATTGGGGAAACTAGTCTCATGAAAAGGCAACCACCTGGGAACATTCCCCAGGGAGTTGAGGTAGAAGTTTAGAGAGCTGGAAAAACTCCACAAAGACATGGACTGTGTCTGTTTAGTGCTATATTCCAGCAGCTGGCACAGTGCCTGACACACTGTAGGCATGCAATACATATTTGTAGAATAAATGAACAAATTAATGCTTTCATTCAGGTAACATTTTATTCCTTATCACTTACTTGGCAGTGATTTGGGGGGTAACTGTCTTCTAGCAGGCATGTGTGGCATGGAGGGAGGCATGTGTCCTCTGAGAAATAGTTGTCTGCTTTTCAGATCGGTTGCTGAATCACTCAAAAGGGGTTGCACAGTAGAACCTGAGGGCTTTGACTTAGTCACCTTGTACTTCAGTGACATTGTGGGCTTCACCACCATCTCAGCCATGAGTGAGCCCATTGAGGTGGTGGATCTTCTGAATGACTTGTACACACTCTTTGATGCAATCATTGGCAGTCACGATGTCTACAAGGTAAGCCAATTAACAGGGAAATACATTCCAGAGTGAAATTGTTATATGAGGCCCAGTGCTCATCTATGTGTATCCCAAAATTAAAGGATGCAATTTGATAGAATGTTGTTATTTAGGAATTGAAATTTAAGCAGTACACCATTTTCATTGGTATCCCATAGGAAATGAAGGCCAGGTAGAATGCATATCATTTCACACTTTACAAAATAACAACTCTCAAACTCAGCAAGAAATTGCTGGTCAGATTTCTTTTGAGCTGTTTCCTAGAACAGGGACAAGAAGAGACTGGGGCCAAAAGAGTTATTGCACTTCAGTGGCTAAGTACCCTAAGTATAGGCTGCAGCATAGTAGGCACTAGAGGGAATACAGTAGTATTGGTGGTTTGCCCATAGTTGGTGACTGCAATAGCATTCATCTTGGTAAAGTCTGTGTAGATCTAATACATGCTATTAAAATTTGATCTACTTCTTTAGGTACCATTGTTATACAGGAAGAAACTTTGGCATTACACCAGGTAGCTATTAGGCTTGGGGCTCTTTGAGATTGCTTTGGGTAACCAAAAGCCCACCTATTGGTCTAAGGACTTGGGAAATGATTAATTGTGAGGTTGCAATCCCCCGCTTCCACCTCCCCCTATCCCTCTAGCCTGTCAATTCCCACTCTTCCTATCAAAGGTTGCAAAGATGAGTACATTCATTCATTTAGGTACTGTGCTTCTTTACCCTTATTTTCTATGTTGTTTTGTCTGTAGGCAGAAAATGACTAAAAATCTCATAGCTTTGCAGGGATATTTCCACGTTGTCTGCAACATGGATACTTGGCTTATTGATGGAGCAAGATGCCCCAGGCATCCCAAACTTTAGACAGCTCCTCTGTCCCAGGAACCAAGGTAGAGCTGAAGAATGAGTAGCTCCATTCATTGGATCCTTCACAGTAGTCTGAAATGTTCCAGCTCTGAAATCACACACAGGGCAATGTGTTTATCTCAGATTAGACAGGGCCCTTTTAGGTCAGGTAGAGAGCCTCGGGGCTAGGCCAAGCCACCTAAATAGGGCTCAGAAATAGACATCATACCTGTCAATCAGCAGGGGCTGCAAGCTAATCAAGGAGCACACAGGGAAACCATGGTGGAGGAAAAATCCATGGAATCAGAATACCTGTCTTAACTTGTTGAACTCCAGCAGTCTGAACAGATTTTTAAAAATCACTGAAAGCTAACTCAGTTGAAACTAAAATCAAAGGTGATTTCAGTGTGGGCAATAAAACAGCCACAGGTTTGATCAATCCAGCTGATTCTGTTCAGCCAGTTGTTGGGGGTCTTAGGCATGAGGCCATTAAGTATTTTGGTACTTCATGGCTGCAGTGGAGAGTTTGTGGGCTGTTCCCAGGACAGAGCAGGGCTATACGAATCCAAAAAATGGAATCTAATTTTTCAGTCCTGTTTATTGAAAACAACGCCGTGCAAAGGAAGGAAAAAATTGAACCAGCGGGTGAGTCACCAAACCTGTTTGTGTTTTCATTTTCTTTACCTGTAAAATTGGAATCACCTCCCCTGGCACTTGGTAATCTGAAATGGAAGTGAGAAGGCTACTGTACACTTATGAAGAAGTTGGTGATTTGTTTTCAGTTTCAGTTCTCCTGCCACCACGCCCCCATCTCAACTAGACCCCTTTCTATACCTCCTTACACTGGCTTTGGTGTCCTTACACTGGCTTATGCCACCCACAATTCCCCACAGCTGTCTGCTCACCAAAGCCAGACAGTGCTCATGCACCTTGCCCTTCTAATCTCATCCATATGCTTGGGGCTTCCTGGATGACTGACTCGTTAAAGCTGAAAGGTCAACCACCAGGCTCTGATAATGGGCAGCCAGTGAGTTTCCCCTTCCATATAACATTTGCATTGTAACCATTGCCTTTTTCTGTGCAGGCAGCCATGCTTATTTGATGGCAGGGATCCTTTTTCTCATATTGCACTAGGTAAGGGGCGGGGGGGCTAGACAGAAGTGTGTTGAAGTACAAAGTCCTATAGGTACAGAGAATCATTGCCATTGGCTATATAGAAAGTCATGCTGAGGGAGGGGCCCACTGCTGTTTACTAAATTTCGTTCTCTGGAGTTGAGACATAACCACAGTCCTAAGGTTGCTTTCAATGCATACTAGTTTGGTGCGGTGGTGGTGATGATGATGATGATAGTGGTGGTGGTGGTGGTGATAGCTTGCATTTATCATGCACCAGGCAGGTATTAAGTGCTTTGACATATATTATTTACTCCTTAGAAAACACTATGAAATAGGTACTGCCATTATCCCTATTTTACAGACGAGGATACTAAAGCCCTCAGGTTAAGTGACTTGCCCCAGATCACAAAGTTTGTAAGTGGTGGATCTGAGGTTCTGACTAAGGCAGTGTGACTTCAGAGTTCATGCTCTTACTTATTGCACTCTGTGAGTGCAGTTCTCTAGGAGAACCTGGATTTTAACCGGATCCAAGGTTGTGATAGCACAGGCTGACTGGCACACTTCATAGAGCTCCTTTCACTTACTTATCTTTTGGATTTACCTGCAAAACTTGAACTTACTGGTCACCTAAAAGAGTGAGCACACTTGTGTGAGGAAGATGAGGAGCACATATTTGCCTTTCTTCTTTCCAGGTGTTCAACTCTAACTGCCCCCTGCAAAGCAGTTGAGGGTCAGTACTGCTGCCCCTCAGAGAGGCAGCAGTAGGAGAGAAGAAGGTAGCTGGTGGTTAAAAGACCCAGTTCTCATACCCAATGAGCCTGCAAAACGAACTCCAACATATTAGCAAGGCAAACCAGAGGGAACAGTCTCTTCCTCATTCTCCCTTTCCCCTTCCCTATATTCCCCTAAGGCTGCCCTAGCTTGTTTACCCAAAATCGTCTGAATTAAATGCTTGCTGGAGGAGGTTTTAGGATGTCCCAGGGACACCCTAGGGACAGTCCCAGTAATCTCCCCTTTTCCCTTTCCCCAGGTATTGCTTGGAGCCTGATTATTTCTGTAGCATCAGCCAGGAGCCTGGGAAGTAGATACATTTATCTCAGAACCTCTGGGCGTGGGGCTTAGACATTGATATATTTTTTTATAAAGCTCCTTATGTGATTCTAATGTGCAGCCGGGCCTATAAACCACTAACACACACACTCTCTCTCTGCCTTCCTCGCTTTATGAGAAGAACGCCTGGCCTCCATCATACTACTAAAGCACTGTGAAAATATTTATTAATCCAAAGAAACTACTCTTGCTAATCCTGTTTCCCCTGATTCCCAGGTGGAGACCATTGGAGATGCCTACATGGTAGCCTCAGGCCTCCCAAAGAGGAATGGCAGTAGGCATGCAGTGGAGATTGCAAACATGTCCTTAGATATCCTGAGCTCCGTGGGCACCTTCAAGATGCGGCACATGCCAGAGGTGCCAGTTCGGATTCAAATAGGCCTGCACTCAGGTAACAACAACGAGCTAAAGAGAAGACATTCCCAGTGGCTCAGTGGAACACTAGAAAAGGGAGAGAAAGGGTAGCTCTCCTCTGATTATTGGTAGGTGGATTATCCAACTGTCCAGGTAGTCCTTTATGCCTGCTCAAGTTTTCTGTCTTCTCAGCACCTGCCTTACCCCAGTGGATATCAGCCTTTGTTCTAGGTCCCGAGCCTTCTCAACCTACCCTCCTCATTCGAGCCCATATTTAATTGTTTGACTATCCTATAAGATCTACAGGAACATGTTGTATTTAGAATAATTCATTTAATTACTGAACATCTCAACTCCCATCCTCATTTCCTCTTGCTTGAGTATCTTCAGGATCTCCTTCTTCATGGTATCCTTCCTATCTATTTTCACACATCCACAGGTATCTTGACAGATCTCTCATTTGATGTCTTAGTTATCTAGTGCTGCTATAAAAGAAATACCACAAGTGGGTAGCTTTAACAAACAGAAATTTATTCTCTCACATTCTGGGAGGCTAGAAGTCCAAATTCAGGGTGCCAGCTCCTGGGGAAGCCTTTCCCTCTCTGTTGGTTCTGGGGGAATGTCCTTGTCATCAATCTTCCCCTGGTCTAGGAGCTTCTCAGCACAGGGATCCCAGGTCCAAAGGACACGCTCCACTCCTGGCACTTCTTTATTGATGGCATTAGGTCCTCCTGTCTGCTCAAGTCTCTCTTTTATATCTCAAAAGAGATTGACTCAAGATACAATCTAATCCTGTAGATTGTGTCCTGCCTCATTAACATAACTGCCTCTAATCCTGCCTCATTAACATCATAGAGGTTCGGATTTATAACACATAGGATTATCACATCAGATCACAAAATGGTGGACAACTACACAATACTGAGAATCATGGCCTAGCCAAGTTGACACACATTTTCGGGAGACACAATTCCATCTATAACACTTGATATCACAGATATCTCACCTATTAGCTCCTCTTGCTCCCGTCTCATCTCCCCTCCTATATCTCTATGCCCTACTCTTCTAGGTTCCTTTTCTTCCCACCCTTTTCATTCCTTTCCTACCAAACATTTTAAAAGAATGATCAACTCATTGTGCCATTTCTTCACTATCCACTCCCTCCTTAGGCCACTTGCAATCCGGCTTCAGTCCTCACCACTTTTCTCATTCCTCATCCACCTTTATCTCTCTGTAGCATTCAACAGTCTTGACAATTATCCCTAAAACTTCCCTCAGTTGGCTTTCCTGATGTGTTCCTCACTCTCTTCCTTGCTGGTTTTCTTAGCTTTTCCTATTGTCTAACTGTGGCTGCTTCTACATTTTCTGCAAAGGTTTCAGAGTTGTGATTTCCTTGCTCTTTGCATGTCCTCGCCTCTAATTTATTTCTCAGCCCATTCCAACTTGGCTTTCATTTTCTACTACTGGCTGATAATTCCTTCTGTCTCCATCTTTCTCTTAAATATTGATATCCCCCAGGGTCCTTTCCTTGATCCATTGTTTTCTTCCCCCTACATACTCTTTCTGGGTGATCTCATTGATTTCTGTGGTTTAACGACCATTTCCATGCTGATAACTCTCAACTCCACTGCTTCGGTATAGCCCTCTTATTTAAGCTTCAGCCTTGAATAACAAACTTCCTACTGACATTTCCACCTGAATGTTCCACATGTACCTCACACTCAACACATCCAAAAGAGAATGATTTTCTTCCCCTACAAACTTCTCCTCCTCTTATGTTTTCTATTTCAGCAGGTGATACTACCATTCACCCAGTTACCCCAGATAGAATCTTGGGGTCATCCTTGACTCCTTCCTCACCCTGACCTCCAACATGCAACCAACTACTAAAGTCATATACATCTTACCTTTTAAATATTTCTTAAATCTATTTTGTCCCTCCTTGATACCCATGTCCAGGCCACTAGCATCTCTTGCCTGGACCATTCCAATAGTATCTTCTTGCTTCCACTCTTGCCTCTTCCCATCCATCTTTTTTATAGTCATCGGCATGATTTGTGTTTACTTGTCTGTCCTTCCATTAGACTTGATGGCAGGAACCATATCTCGCTCATGTTTGCATCCTGAGTGCTTAGCACATAGCAGATGTTCAGTAATTTTGTGTTTTTTAAAGAAAAGCCCTCATCTCTCACTTGTGCTCCAGTTTCACATCTCTAACCCCCATCATCACACCTCTTCTTGGATGGTTCATGGTCACTTCAAATTCAACGTATATAAAACTTCAAGTCACTTTTTTCCATAAGTCAGCATAAACTCATAAACTCATGCCAATTCCTCCATGATTGTCCCTCTGACAGCCAAGTCTGTTGATTCTTCTTTTGTAATGTTTCTCTTTTATCCTCCCTTTTTGCCCCTCCATCATCTCCTTTCCAGTACTCACTACCTTATACCTGGATGACTGTAATAGCCACCTAATAGGCTTCTTTGATTTTATTCTGTCCCCACTTCAATGCATTCTATATGTTGTTCTTCAGAAAAAAGAAAGAAAACTCATTTTCGTCATGCAGTTTCCCTGCTCAAAATTCAACATTGGCTCAAGGTCCTCCATCTTGTACAACTACTTAATCAACCTTGTCTCCAGTATCTCCTTGGCCACCTGAACTAGGCAGATTGCTTTCTCTAAGAGCTGCCCATGCTCAGTCTCAACCACAAACCTTTCATTCACATCCCTTTTCTCCTATTCAAATCCTACCCACTCATCAAGATCCAAATCAAATCCTACCTTCTCCACTGGAACCTTCTTTACTGAGCCAGGTCCTAATGAGCTGTCCCCCAATCTCTAAACTATTATAGCACTTCTGTTTGAACCACTTATCTTGCCTCAACAATACATTGTCTTGGGTTGTTTTTGAATTGTTTCCTCTTTGGTAGTCTCTAGTCTCCAATTCGATTATAAACTCCTGGAGAGAACTGACACTGTGTGTTCCTTTTTTTTTTTTTAATTCCCCTTGGTGCCTAGCTCAGTGCTCAATGAATGCTTCTGAATGAGTGAGAGATGAAATAAAATGAGAAAGTGTTAAAAGCTCTTTATCAACCTAAGTTTTGTAGTTCTTATTTACTTTTATTCTTAGCAGAAAAAACTTCATAAAATAATTAATTTCCCTATCTCAGGAAACAGTAAAAAAGTAATGCTGAAAAATTTTAACATAGAAACAGAGCAGAGATCAGAGAGGTGAAGGTGGAACACTTTCTAGCTACTCCTGAACTGAATTTTCAATACGTCTGCTTAAATTTTTTCAAGTACTGTCTACTCCCTGAACACCTAACACAGCCATTTTAAAATGTAAGAACAAAAACCACTCTAAGAGAAAACAGAAAATATTCTTGAATTATCTATACTGCTCTTCCATACCCCAACATACATGATTGAAAGTCAACTCTGCTGATTTTCAGATTTTTGAACTGTCTTAGCAATAATTCTCTTGGTAGACACAGTTTGAGAGACAGATAGTCCTACGAGATGCCTCCTTCCCACCCTAAGGAACAAGAAAGAGTCACAGTTTTAAACATGTTTGGATCCTGAGTCCCTGCCCAGGCTTTTCTGGTTTGGATTTGATGCTTATTTGTCTCTGTTGACAGATGTAAGCATCTTGGGTATAACTGTTACATGGAACAAAAGTATAAATCAGAAGGGTAATCATGTCTGCATTGTTATAAACTTGCTTTCTAACGATAGGGCAAATAGTTCATTACTCATTACAAGGCTTCCTTCAGATTCCCAGAGCTATTTGGTGGCAACTTTTATTCTTTCATGAAGCTACATTCCTTCCCCTTGCAGTGTTCTTTATTAGCGTTGGGTGCACACCTGGTGACTGTAATCCCACCCCCTGCTATTCTATAGGGCCGGTTGTTGCTGGAGTGGTGGGCCTCACCATGCCCAGATACTGCTTGTTTGGAGATACCGTAAACACTGCTTCTCGGATGGAATCAACAGGGTTACCTGAGTACCTACAGAGGGAAGGATAGGATTGTGCCTTCCTGCTGTAGGCAAAGTGATTCTTCCTCAAGATAGGGGAACAATAACAGAGTCCTTGAGGTTTTATTGTTTTTAAAGAAAAATAAAAGATAATTTGAGAAGATTACGGAGATTTAGCACATATTTTCCTGATTTCTAATGGCCAAACCAGTAGGGGGTGATATTGGACTGAACATGTACCTTTCTTGTTACAGAAATAAAGCTGTAGCTAAATGACATTGAAACAGTCAGTCAATTTGATCAAAACAACTAAAGAAGTCTTTTGGGTAAAAGAAAAAATTGTCCAGCCTGGTGGGGTTATAGGAGTCATGTCAAAAAAAAGAACTAGGTAAGGGACCGACATTTTCAGTTTTTCAACTAGTTCATGGAGACACACGCAGAGCCAGCTGCCTCCCAGCCAGCTGCTGTTTGCTGCTCTTATCCTGTTTTTGAACTAGTATAAGACTCTAGGAGTTCTGGCTTCATCAAATAGTCCCCTTGAACTCAGGTAGCAATAATCCCTCAACCTAAGGAGCTTGGAATTTTGAAATACTTAATTCCAACTTGCCTGTATATAAAACCCTTAGCTTCTATCAAAACAGGCATGATATCAAAGATACCATTTCTTCCGCTCTTCCTTGAGAAGAAAACGGCACAAACCATTATGCCGTTTGTCCATTGCTGGTAAAAATGCTGGCTCAACTCTTTCTTGGTTGTTTACTGCCAAGTTATTTGCTGCCATTACTAAGGCAATGTCAGGATCACAATATGCCTTTTACCTATATCATGGTTGAGCAAAGCAGTTTGTTCATGCTGTTGCAGAAAATCATAGAGAACAACATTTGATCCTATCTACTGTTTCCATGGATTTTATTTAAAACACTTAAGCCCTTAGCAGCCTGGGCTCTGGCAGCTACTAGGCAAGACAAGCTCTTCCCAAACTTCAGCAATATCCTCAAACTAGTCCCTGATGATATGCTGGCCTATATCACAGTGGGTGGTACCCTGTCTGACCCCACTTCCCATCACTCATGTGTAGAAACAGGCTTGCACAATGGGTCCAGTCTTAGTGAATGTAGCCCGTGCAGCCATGATTAAGGTGGCAGCACGGAACTTAGAAGCTGTTGTCAGAATAAATTTTCTGACATCTGGGAAAGTCTTCGAACTCCACAGACATGGCAGAAGCCATGCAAGTAGTCATCCAGGAACTGCTGCATGCGTATGACTTTGCATATGACTTTGTTCTTGAAGTCCAACCCAAGATGAAGTGAAATTGATCATGGAACCGCAATGCAGATTTGGCACAGTACTCTGGAGTGATGTAAGCTTGTAGAAGACTGAAGTCATATTCTGGTCTGCACCAGGGAAACTCCACATATTTCACATTGGAAATAGAGAGTTGAAAGCAGAAACTGAATTTTTAGATTTAAGCAGCACCTTTTCCAGTGATCAGCTAGGAAGAAGAAAATGGAGTGAATCACTCACAGCAGTTGTTTATTAAGCACTGGCTATGCAAGGAAGGCCGTGTGAGGGAAGTCACTCCTAAGGTTCACCCTTCAGCCAAAGATTAGACAGGTCTATAGGGCCAACAATAACACACATGAGGGACGTGCTTCATAGTTCAATCATGTATATTAGACTAATGGGCACACCAGCCCAAAAGCAAAGATGAGAAGTCAATAAAGGTCAGGAAAACTGGACGAATGGAAACAGGGAACCTAGGGTGGAGAAGGGGAGAGTGGTGACACATCGCGGGGTTGGCAACCAATATCACAAAACAATTTGTATATTAACTGTTTAATGAGAAACTAATTTGTCCTGTAAACTTTCACCTAAATCACAATTTAAAAATATACATACAGGGTCTGGGGACCATGGTTTCAGGGGACATCTAGGTCAACTGGCATAACAAAGTTTATTAAGAAAATGTTCTGCATCCTACTTTGGTGAGTGATTTTGGGGTCTTAAAAGCTAGCAAGTGGCCATCTAAGATGCATCAATTAGTCCCAACCCACCTGGAGCAAAGGAGAATGAAGAACACCAAAGACACAAGGAAAATATTAGCCCAAGAGACAAAAGGGCCACATAAACCAGAAACTTCATCAGCCTGAGACCAGAAGAACTAGATGGTGCCCGGCTACCACCAATGACCACCCTGACAGGGAACATAACAGAGAATCCCTGACGGAGCAGGAGAAAAGTAGGGTGCAGAACTCAAATTCTAGTAAAAAAAAAACAGACTTAATGATCTGGCTAAGACTGGAGGAACCCCAGAAGACATGGCCCCCGGACTCTGTTAACCCAGAACTAAAATCATTCCTGAAGGCAACTCTTCAAAGATTAGACTGGACTATAAACGTAAAACAATACTCGTGAAGAGTGTGCTTCTTACTTCAAGTAGATACTTGAGACTAAATGGGCAGCTCCTGTCCAGAGGCGACATAAGGCAGAAAGGGATAGGAGCTGGTTGAATGGACACGGGAAATCCGAGGTAGAAAGGAGTGTGCTGTCACATTATAGGGATAGCAACTAGGGTCACATAACAATGTGTGTATAAATTTTTGTATGAGAAACTAACTTGAGTTGTAAACTTTCACTTAAAGCACAATAAAAGTTTTTTTAAAAAAAAGATATGCACAAATATACTCTCTGCACTAAAGGAGCAGGTTAGTATGCTCTTCTGGAAACTAATGACTGTGTCCCAAATATGGCATTAAGCTTCACACCTGATTGAAGATCTGTAAAGAGGTAGCCTTTAACCTCATATTGGCTCTGTGACCGGGATATGTCCTGTTGTTGTTGTTGTTAGGTGCCATCGAGTCAGTTCTGACTCATAATGGCCCTACGTACTACAGAACAAAACACTGCCCGGTCCTGCTCCATCCTCACAGTCATTATGCTTGAGCCCATTACTGCAGCCACTGTGTCAATCTATCTCATTGAGGGTATTCCTCTTTTTCGCTGACCCTCTACCAAGCATAATGTACTTCTCCAGGGACTGATCCCTCCTGGCAACATGTCCAAAGTATGTAAGACGTAGTCTCGCCATCCTTGCTTCTTCTAATGAGCATTCTGGTTGTACTTCTTCCAAGACAGATTTGTTCGTTCTTTTGGCAGTCCATGGTATAGTCAATATTCTTCACCAACACCACAATTCAAAGGCATCAATTCTTCTTCGGTCTTCCTTATTCATTGTCCAGCTTTCGCATGCACATGATGCAGTTGAAAATACTGTGGCTTGGGTAGACGCACCTTAGTCTTCAAGGTGACATCCTTGCTTTTCAACACTTTAAAGAGGTCTTTTGAAGCAGATTTACCCAACACACTGCGTCTTTTGATTTCTTGACTGCTGTTTCCATGGGTGTTGATTGTGGATCCAAGTAAAATGAAATCCTTGACAACTTCAATCTTTTCTCCATTTATCATGATGTTGCTTATTGGTCCAGTTGTGAGGATTTTTGTTTTCTTTATGTTGAGGTGTAATCCATACTGAACGCTGTGGTCTTTGATCTTCATCAGGAAGTGCTTCAAGTCGTCTTCACTTTCAGCAAGCAAGGTTGTGTCATCTGCATAACGCAGGTTGTTACTGAGTCTTCCTCCAATCCTGATGCCCTGTTCTTCATCATATAATCCAGCTTCTTGGATTATTTGCTCAGCATACAGATTGAATAGGTATGGTGAAAGGATACAACCCTGATGCACACCTTTCCTGATTTTAAACCACGCAGTATTCCCTTGTTCTGTTTGAACAACTGTGTCTTGATCTCTGTACAGGTTTCTCATGAGCACAATTAAGTGTTCTGGAATTCCCACTCTTCGCAATGTTATCCATAATTTGTTATAATCCACACAGTCAAATGACTTTGCATAGTCAATAAAACACAGGTAAGCATTTTTCTGGTATTCTCTGCTTTCAGCCAGGATCCACCTGACATCAGCAATGATATCCCTGGTTTCACGTCCTCTTCTGAATCCAGCCTGAATTTCTGGCAGTTCCCTGTTGATATACTGCTGCAGCCACTTTTGAATGATCTTCAGCAAAATTTTACTTGCGTGTGATATTAATGATCTTGTTCAGTAATTTCTGCATTTGGTTGGATCACCTTTCTTGGGAATAGGCATAAATATGGATCTCTTCCAGTTGGTTCCCAGGTAGCTGTCTTCCAAATTTCTTGTCATAGATGAGTGAGCACTTCCAGAGCTGCATCCATTTGTTGAAACATCTCAATTGATATTCCATCAATTCCTGGAGCCTTGTTTTTCCCCAGTGCCTTCAGTACAGCTTGGACTCCTTCCTTCAGTATCATCGGTTCCTGATCATATGCTACCTCTTGAAATGGTTGAACGTCAACCAATTCTTTTTGGTATAATGACTCTGTGTATTCCTTCCATCTTCTTTTGATGCTTCCTGTGTACTTTAATATTTTGCCCATAGAATCCTTCACTATTGCAACTTGAGGCTTGAGTTTTTTCTTCAGTTCTTTCAGCTTGAAATGCCGAGCATGTTCTTCCCTTTTGGTTTTCTATCTCCAGCTCTATGCATATGTCATTATAATACTTTACTTTGTCTTCTCTAGCCACCCTTTGAAATCTTCTCTTCAACGCTTTTACTTCATCGTTTCTTCCTTTTGCTTTAGCTACTCGACGTTCAAGTGCAAGTTTCAGAGTCTCTTCTGACATCCGTTTTGGTCTTTTCTTCCTTTCCTGTCTTTTTAATAACCTCTTGCTTTCTTCATGGATGATGTCCTTGATGTCATTCCACAACTCGTCTGGTCTTCGGTCATTAGTGTTCAATGTGTCAAATCTATTTTCGAGATGGTCTCTAAATTCAGGTGGGATATACTCAAGGTTGTACTTTGGCTCTCGTGGACTTGTTCTAATTTTCTTCAGTTTCAACTTCCATCATCCCTTTCCACAGATGTAGTCAATTTGATTTCTGTGTATTCCACCTTGTGAGGTCCACATGTATAGTCGCTGTTTATGTTGGTGAAAAAAGGTATTTGCAATGAAGATGTCGTTGGTCTTCCAAAATTCTATCATGCAATCTCCGGCATCGTTTCTGTCACCAGTGCCATATTTTCCAACTACTGATCCTTCTTCTTTGTTTCCAACTTTCACATTCCAATCACCAGCAATTATCAATGCATCCTGATTGCATGTTTGATCAATTTCAGACTGCAGAAGCTGGTAAAAATCTTCAGTTTCTTCATTTGTGGCCTTAGTGGTTGGTACATAAATTTGAATAATAGTTGTATTAACTAGTCTTCCTTGTAGGCGTAAGGATATTATCCTATCACTGACAGCGTTGTACTTCAGGATAGATATTGAAATATTCTTTTTGACGATGAATGTAACGCCATTCCTCTTCAAGTTGTCATTCCCAGCATAGTAAACCATATGATTGTCTGATTCAAAATGGCCAATACCAGTCCATTTCAGCTCACTAATGCCTAGGATATCAATGTTTATGTGTTCCATTTCATTTTTGACGATTTCCAATTTTCCTAGATTCATACTTCGTACATTCCAAGTTCCAATTATTAATGGATGTTTGCAGCTGTTTCTTCTCATTTTGAGTCATACCACATCAGCAAATGAAGGTTCCGAAAGCTTGACTCCATCCACGTCATTGAGGTCGACTCTACTTTGAGGAGGCAGCTCTTCCCCAGTCGTCTTTTGAGTGCCTTCCAACCTGGGGGGGCTCATCTTCCGGCACTAAAACAGACAATGTTCCGCTGTTATTCATAAGGTTTTCACTGGCTAATTCTTTTCAGAAGTAGACTGCTGGGTCCTTCTTCTTAGTCTGTCTTAGTCTGGAAGCTCAGCTGAAACCTGTCCACCATGGGTGACCCTGCTGGTATCTGAATACCGGTGGCATAGCTTCTAGCATCACAGCAACACGCAAGCTCCCACAGTACGACAAACTGACAGACACGTGGTGGTGGTGGTGGGGATATGTCCTAGATCTCTATTAAAAAATAAATTTCATCAATATTTTTTATGTGCCCAGTTGAATCCACTAAGGTTCTAGAATAAGAGTGACCCATCCCTGAAGTGATCCTCCTTACTATACAATTGGAGGGTGGGTGGAATGGGGTATCTGCTCTCTTTTGAGCTGTATGTTCCCCATCAGCAGGATCATTCTACTGAAAGGCTCCCTGAAGACTAGATGCCGGTGAGATGGCACATATCGGGCTGGCTAGGGACACGCTAGTCTGGCATGTGGCTCTTAAGAATGGGACAACCCTTTCTGAGCAGAGATTTTGGGTGACCATGAGTCAGTGAGGAAGACACAAACAACAGTTCTAAGCTGTCAAAAGGAGGAAAGTCTTTGTAAGTACACATAGAAGAAATTTCTTGCAGTTCTTTTCAGCCATGCCTTTCTACTCAGATTGTAATCAGCTTCTAAAAGAGTGACCTTCTCTAGCACGTGTGAGAACAAGTCTTGGATTTTTATTTAAGACTCAACCTCAACATGGTTTTCCTTCATAGAATGACAGTTTTCAGGAAGTTAACAAATGATTGTTCTTTACCAAAGAATTACACTTTGGATCTAAGTAATTTTTTTTAATTTTGTTGTAGTTCTTCATGTATAGCTTTTATTCCAGGTTGGGGTCAGTGGTTAGAAAATAATGTATTCATGGGTGTACATGGGTACACATAGTCGTGGGTACATGGTTATATGTACCTACTCAAAGGACAGCTATGAATGTACCAAAAATCCCAACTAAACTCGCTGCCATCGAGTTGATTCTGACTCATAGTGAGGCTATAGGACAGAGTAGAACTGCCCCACAGGGTTTCCAAGACTGTAATCTTTATGGAAACAGTCTGCCACAGCTTTGTCCTACAGAGCAGCTGGGGTTCAAACCACCGACCTTTGGGTTAGCAGCTGAGCACTTAACCACTGCACCACTAGGGCTCTCCACAAAATGTTTGTTGGCAAAGGTCTTAGGATACTTCCCATTGATGTTTTAAGTACAGCGATATTGAGAGAGGTTTGCATAGATGCACACGGAAAGACTCCCTTTTGTCTTTTAGGTTGGGTTATGTAAAGTTTGGGAGTTCACTTCCAGTAGAAGCCTGTGAGAGAAGCTGCTGGGGCCAAACTTCCCTCAGAGGAGGTCACATTTCAGCTGAGAGCACAGTGGTGGTTGCTGGTTTCTTCATCTCAACCCTTGAGTTAAATTAACACCTTTCTATTGCATGGCCTTTCCTCTGAGATGGTGTCTAGGAGGTTGATAGGTTCTGTAGCTAATGCCTTATTTGGGCTTGATGAGGAAGGCCATTGCTCACCACCCCCTCACCCTGAAACGCAGACTAGAGCTCTCCCAGGTACTTCCCTTAGGGTCTAGTTTATTTATAAGTGGGAGCATTTATTATATTGATATTTTCTCATTGATTTTACCTAAAAGGAGCCAAAGTCATGCCACTCCTTCTTTTACAGCGTATCGCATTCATGTCAGTCACAGCACTGTGACAATTCTTCGAGCTCTGAGTGAGGGCTATGAAGTGGAGCTCCGAGGAAGGACAGAGCTCAAGGTATAATGTCCTTTATTGTTTGAACCAAACCACTTGGACACACCTGTTTCTGGAGAGGTTATGGTCTGCTGAAAGAGTTTACCTGGGAGTCTGAGACTCAGAGCTGTAACTTAAGCAGAATCTCTAGCCACATTTGGGAGTTTGAACAGATTGTTCCCTTTTGCCTCCGTTTTCTTCTCTTTAAAATATGGCTGCATGCTGAAGATAGTTGAAACGTCTTTTGCATTTCTTAGAGTATGAGTTGTACCTTTTTCTCCTGAACAACTGCCCAGAATTTGGCTTTATGACAAGCTGCACTATTGTTTACACTTTTGAACTTCCATTTTGGTTACTCTTTGGCAGTGCAAGACGTTGCTCAGGAAGGCACAATATTGAGGAGTTTGGGTTTTCTATTTACCTTCTCAGTAGCCACCTTTCTGACTTTTCATATTCACCACTGACCCCCTGTATACAGAGAGGTTTTGTGTCTTTCCCCAATGACCAGGAGGAGCAAAGACAAACTTCTTCTAGCATGTTTTCTTTCTTTTAGGGCTATCACTTGATTTGAAATTCAGGATTAGGATAATTTTCCCTTTTTTGTTTCTACTGGATTCTCTTCATCTCCCTCTGGATGACCCCAGGGCCACTGGCTACTGAGAGACCCTAGAGATCTGATCATCTCTCTAACTCTCTTCATTTTCAGATGAAGGTGAAGTAATGGGGCCAAGGTTACACAGTCAATTGATGGCAGAATCAGGCCAAATCCCAGGAAGCCTGACTTCCTGGTTAGTGTCCTTGCCGTGACACCATGCTGTGTGAAAAGTGATTTCCCAAGTGATTATTTTTGGGCAAAGCAAAACCAGAGCACTGAGTGATGCACAATTTATTTCAGTCATTGACATGCCATCCCCAGATGGTGGCAATTTCCGTGTAACTGGGTTTCAGAAGTTAATGGTTGGGAGTCCTGATTCTAGTTGATCATTTCCTTTTCTGGCTAGTCCTAGCTTGTCCCTTCCAATAGATTCTTAATATCTTTCAGCAGGTGGAATGAGTCACTTACAAGGAGACCGAGGCTCCTTTCCCACCTCTGCAGAGAACTCAGACAGTGAGATGATGGGGGTGGGGATATTACTTGTGCAGTGAATCAAATCACCCAAGGCTTTTATGATCCGTCTATACATTCTGTCATTTCTCAGCAGAGGAAAACAAAGGCAGCTTGGTTTCCTGAAGCATTTTCCAATCTGTATTGCTGGGTACAGATTTCTTCATTTTAAAGCTATAGAGCTGAAGAGGTGACACTTTCAAAAGTGAAAAGGAAAAATATGCCTCTAACCCCATGGTTTTTATTGCCCCCCACCCCGGTTCCAGTCAGGAATACTCACATATTTGGGTGTTCTGAGTACAAAAGTGAGGCTTACTTCAAAAGGGTCCTTTGCAACTTCACAGTTTCCCCCACTCCCAGGGCATTTGGGAATGTGCTACAGCAAGTAGGAAGAAGAGACAGGGAGAGGCTTCCCCTAAGGGCATGTTAGGCCTTGGTTATTGGGGTGGCAGGAACCTCATAAGAATGAGAGATTGAGAGGGAGATACTGAGAGAGGAAAAGAGAGGAGTGGGGGCAACAGGGGAAGGGAAGGGACAATGAGAAGAAGGAAAAGGAGAGAAAGTAAGACCCAAAGAGTGGAAGGGAGAGCAAGAGGATATTGTCTCTGTACTCACCACCTCTCTGCCAGAGGCAAGTATTGTGCATTACATGCTAGGGGCTGGGAGACAGGAAATTCCTAGTACTTTGGGGGCATGGAATATATTCCTAATAAGACAATATTCCCAGCACACTTCAGAAATTCTGATTCAACATTCCACCCTACCCCCCACTCCCACCTGCCCTGTGCTGCTGGAAAGCAAGAGTTACTTTTGCGTGTGGCAGAAGGACCACGTTTGTTGGCCAGTCAGGTGAGGTGTTAGTTATCTCAAAGGTTCAAGGAAGACCCTCATGGCTAGAAGCATTCCCTCCTTCCAGTTGTCTGATGCTTGAAATTCCTCCATCAGATCCTCTTCCTTAGGTTCAAGGCTTAGATCTAGTAGTTACAGACTATCCATACCTATACCCATGCCGCCACTCCCTCTAACATCTCCTTTATTGGAGTGGTGAAACTAAGTTGTTGCCCTTAGTGGAATCAAAGACTTGGGTGACAGGAAAGAACATAAAGGAAGTTGAGTAGTTGGGGTGGGGGTGGAGAGACACAAAGAAAGAGACCAGAGTAAGGAAGCTGAGGTAGTTTGGAGCAGGACTCATTTCGAGATGAGGAGCTCTGCCACTGTCTACTGCAACCCCTTCTTGTACAATACTGGGAACAATGACCGATGTTTAACTGGCCACTTCTGCTTTTTCAATATTTCTTTCCTGATGGGCTAGTGATATGTCGTTTTATTACTGCTTCTCTTACATGAGCCCTGTTTCAGCTACCATTTTCCTGACAAGGTTGAAGCTCCTTGCTGAGATTTTGTATGTACTAGGTTTATCAGAGTAGCCCTGGTGGCGCAGTAGTTAAGCACCTTGTTGCTAACCAAAAAATCGGTGGTTCGACCCACCAGCCGCTCTGCGGGAGAAACACGTGGCAGTCTGCTTCCATGAAGATTGCAGCCTTGGAAACTCTACAGGGCAGTTCTACTCTGTCCTATCAGGTCGCTATGAGTTGGAATCGACTTGAGGGCAGTGGGTTTGGTTTTTTGGGTTTAGGTTTCAGTTACATTTTACCTTTTCGGTAGGTTTACATTCTGGAAAGACTTTCCCAAATGGTTGTTCTCACAGCCAATTTATATTGTTCTTGCCAGAAGTGGACACTTTCTGACCTTGTCTCTGAATTCTGGGGTTAAATGTTATTTGGTTATCAGGCCTCCAAGCATTAGTCCTATTTTGTGGTTTCTACTCTCCCCTCAACCTCTTTCACTCCTACCCCCAACTCCTAACACATATGTGAGCATGCATTCATGCGCACACCATGCACTTCCCCTGTACACACACACACACACACACACACCCCAGCAATTCAGCCAAGAAATAATAAGGTTGTATTGACAGAGTCATGGAGATCAGAAAGTCTCATTTCTAATTCTTGCCCCATCAATAACTCAATGTGTGACACTGGACAAGTAACTTCATCCTCTCTGTGCTTCAGTTTCTCCACATAGAGACCTCTTCTGACCTGTGGTTATCAGAGAGTTCATCAATAACAGGTTTTTAAACTCCCAACTGTTGCTTTTTTGCCTCTAGACCTGCCCCTTGGCTGCAGTGTGTTGGAGAGTTATGTGGGTAGAGGGAAGAGCGTTTAAAAATTGGAGTCTAGTAAAGTTGGGTTCAAATCCAAGCTATACCTGCTTATGGACAAGTTATTTAAACTCCCTAAACCTCAATGTCCTTATTTGCAGAATGAGGTTAATAATAAAACTACCTTCTAGAGTTGTTCTGAGGATTAAATAAGATAGGAGATGCCTAAGGGTCTTAAAAGTGCCATGCCAAAGTAAGATGCTATTATTTGGGGGGTCTTTGGGACTGCCCACGGATTTATTTTGGGTCAAAGAGTTTGCTTTAGGCTTGGTTGTTATCATACTTGTTTCTCCTCTCTCCCTCCCTTCAACAGAGTTTTGGAAGTGGAGTGGGTAAACAGAGAGCTAGGATTCTAAGAATTCTCCTGGATGATCTCCAAAACCTCAGAGAGCCCCTGGAGCTGCCCTGCATACCCTTTGACTTGGAAGCTTGCCCGAGTCTATAACACTCCCATACTTTTTTTACAGCCATTAGTGTTGGCATCCCAGTGTGTCCCAGGACCCACCCAAATATCAGGAAACTCTTGGCAGCTACAAAGTTCCCTTGGGGATTGGCCTGGTGGCCTACAGATCTCAAGATAAGCATTCAAATATGGCTGGAGGTTGGAGTACTCAAGTTCGAAATTTAAGAGTATGTTTTACCAAAATGAGGTCCGATGATGCCTTGGAGATTCCATGTGCTAAGGGGTTCAGGGTTCCAGTTAATGGAAAAGTCTGATTATTTATTGAGCAACTTTTCTGTACAAGATACTGCACTAGGTACTGTGAGGAAAATAAAGAGCTTAGGAGGCAAAGGAGTTGGGCTTAATGTGTTTTAGGCCCAAGACATGGCCTAAGTTTTTTTTTTATTTAACTATACTGTGAGCTACTTAAGGATAGACCCATGTCTTGTTCATCTTTGTACTCCCAGCCCTGGTAAAGCGAGGGTGAATGTTTGTGAAATCAATACAAGAATGAATGATGTGGGTATATTTTCAAGTTGTTCGTCTCTTCTGAAAACAGAGAGGCCCCCGATAGCCCAGTTATTTGAGGTTTAGGGTGAGTTGGTTGCCAGTTAATGGAGGTTTGGCTATGGCGATGTTCTTTTCCTACTTGCCTCATGGAGGGTTTGTTTGGAGGCTTGAACCAAATATTTGCAAAATATTTCAAGATTCTCCAGTTAAATGTGCTAATTATTGTTATAGTCGTTATCATTATTATTAAGGGATGAATATATGTGATATAAAATAGAGAACAATGGATTTGATATTTAAAGGGGGCAAACCTAATTGGAATTTCTAAGTTAAACAATTTAGAACTGTTCCAAATGAGAGCTACTAAGAGTAAGACCATATTTCAGATTAATGAGTTGGAAACACATCCCATTACTTTTCTCAGTCTTAGTAAACACATTTTTTTCCTTATGGATTGGAGGAAATGAGAGGGCAGACAAAAGAAAATTGAAAGGAGGAGGAGAGAGAAGCACATTGAGAGGAGGATTTACTGGAAAGAGGGGAGGACAGAGCAGAGGCAGAGAATTCGGCTCCTCTGAGGTCATTACTTAGGCTCTTGAGTTTACACCCCCTTTTTCTTCCCAGAGTTATGGTTCTTAACAACCAACTCACTCCACTAGGCTGAAGATGGGGGCATTTCTGGGGTCTCTCTTTACCTGTAAGCAGGGGCCTATCTACGGAAAATAGCACCTATGGCAATTAGCTTTAAAGTGTTGAATGATCTTTCACAGCTGACGGTGGAAACGACCATGGCCAGTAGAAACTGTTCATTAGCGCCCCTCCTCAAGCAGCGCCCAGGGCACACGCCCTACCTGCCACACCTTAGTTACGTGTCTGCCTGTAAGAATCCCTTGGCAGGCAAAAAAGAACACTGCAGAAATGTAGACCTCTCAAAGCAGCCAGGATGCCCTGGTTTAAAAACAAAGTTGCACAGCCTGCTTTCCATTTCTATTTCCTTTTTCGGGTTTTGTGAGAGCCTTTGGATGGCAGGGTGTGTTGGGGGGTGAATAGACTCTGAATGTATGTACTCTAGATACAAAACACAATGGGGTGCTTAATGCCAAAAGATCAGGGCAAAAATGACAAAATCTTCAGTTGTGCAACCAGATGTTTGGCCACTATGAAGCCAATCATACACACATTCCCAAAAATGTAGCTTCATGGTGGCGGGTAGACAAAACATCTGGATGACAGCTGGAAATGGTGTTCACTTTTCATCTGGATGCTGTGGCGGCCTATGGAGTCTGCCTGAGCCTAAGATACAGATGGCAAGGAAGCCATGTAGGAAGGAAGAGTCCAGGGAGTGGTGACAAAGGAAAAGTAGGAGCAATATCTGAGCCAAATGGAATGCTTGTGCCCTATTGACCAGAAGGACTCCTTTAGGAAAATTGGTTATAGCACGTTTAATAAGATTTTCCATATTTTCTGTAATAAGGGCAAAGGCACAGAAGAGACCTTCTGGCTGGTTGGAAAAAGAGGTTTCACGAAGCCCCTTCCTGTGCCCCCACCAGTGGGCAAAGATGGGTAAGCGAAGTTCACACATAATCAGAGTCTTCCTACACCCAGTTTTGCCCACACTCTCTTGACTAACTATTTTAATGTCTCCCGTATCCTGCAGGCAAATGGGCCATGGCCTGCAACCAGTGGAAATCACAGCCTTCCAGAGAAGAAAAGCAGAAAGGCAGCTGGTGAGAAACAAACCATAAGGTAATGGCCAGCAAGAAAACAGAGCACAGGAGCTCACCTGCCAGATTTTCAAAGCTGGGGCTCCCTTTGGCATGAGTGCCAGTCTCAGCCTATACTCTGTTGGCAGGGTGTGGTGTGATGGAGCTGGTGAATTTCCAAGCTTCACTGAGTTGTGCAAAATCCTTGTTACGGGCAGGCCTCTTGCAGAGCGAGCTACCCCTGGGGCTCAGCTGCCCTGGCCTGAGAGAGACACTTGCCTCCTGCACTGATAACACCTTCAAATGCTAACAAGGCCAGCCTTGTTATCAGGCAGGTGCACCTGTGTCATTGTCAAGTACTTGGACCACATGGTGCGCTACCTCAGTCTCTTAGAGACTTATATCTATCTAAGCAACACAGCAATATTGCGCCTACCCACTTTTCCTGGGGTCTATTGGCAAGACCATCTTGGAAGGGATGCTTATGTCATTTCCTCTGGAGGTGCTGCATGATCCCTTGCAAGGCTGGCATTGCCAACCAAATAAGGCTGGCTACTCCCTGAATGCCTGGTTTGAATTCAGGGCAACTTCCCTCATTCCTCCTCCTGTACTAGGAGGGTATAATTCTGAAGCATTGACAACAGCCTAATTTTCAAGAATTCTCCCCACATACATATCTCTGAGGAATGCATTGCTTTCTTGGACCTCTCTCAGTCTCTCCTCTTCTTTCTCTTGCTTTCTTACTCTGCCATTAATGGAGACATTGGCCTTAAAACCCATTGCTCCTTCCACATATCCTTGGAAATCACAAAATTCTAAAGTAAACATTAGGGCACCTCCACACACTCCTGCTCCCTTATTCTCCTCTAGAATACTCCAGGATAATCGCAATTCTAGAAGCAATATACCACGGACTGCCAGAAGAGCGAACAAATCTGTCTTGGAAGAAGTACAGCCAGAATGCTCCTTTGAAGCGAGGATGGTGAGAGTTTGTCTCACGTACTTTGGACATGTTTATCAGGAGGGACCATTCCCTAGAGAAGGACATCATGCTTGGTGGAGGGTAGGCGAAAAAGAGGAAGACCCTCAACAAGATGGATTGACATAGTGGCTGCAACAATGGGCTCGATCATAACAACAATTGTGAGGATGGCACAGGACCGGGCAGTGTTTTGTTCTGTTGTTCATAGGGTCGCTATGAGTTGGTACTGACTTGATGGCACCTACCAACAATAACAACAGCAGCAATTATCAAAGGGATCCACACACTCCCTATTCTCTCACTAGCCTCTGTTGACTTTGTAAACTCTCATACCTGTTTTCTCTCCTAAGGAAACCAAAGGCATCTTCAGTTCTGCAGCTGTCATAGGTGCCCTGTATCAGGGAGAGATTACCCAACAAGCAAGATACATACGGGCTTACTTGTGCTTACTTACTAACCTGTAATGCACAATTTCACCTGTTTTTCACCACATCAAACCCATGTGAAATTGTGCACTACAGATTAGTAAGTAAACACAATTAAGCGCGTGCATTCCTTGGTTACTGTAAGCCTGTGCGTACCTTGCTTACTGGTTAATCTGCCCCTGCCTGTACTAGTCATAAGCATTTATGCTTCAATAAGGCTGCTGTACTGAGCATGAGGCTCCCCTACAACCACTCACACACCCTAACTTCCTGCTACCTGGGGCCTGGCTCTGTTCTTTACTACTGACCTATACAAACAGGTAAGCAGCTGGGACACACAGTCACCCAATTTCCAGTAACATTCTTATCGGTGGGAAGGGAAGCACACAGACACTGTCAGATACAGACAGACAGACACACACACACACACACACACATATGCACACACTCTTTGCAGGAAAGAATTTGGTTTTCTCTTTGGCAGAGTTGTGCAAGCATTAGAGGCACTGAATAAGAACCCATACATTCCAGAGAAATGTTAGCATTTGCAGCAGAAGACACTACAGTTGACTCAGCATCATTGGCTGTGTGCTTCATAGTGCTTTCAAAGCATGGGGATGGATGTGGCTTAGGCCATTTGCACTCAGTCATCTGGACCCCCTTGACAGAGGGCAAGCATCTATGGGCTGTGGGTAGATGGAACCAATTGAAGCCAGTTGGCGCAAAAGCAGATTGAACCTCTGATCCTGGCCTCATTAGCACTTGTGCTTTAATCAGCGTGTTAATTGACCACAATGGCTTTGGTGGCTACATTGCTAAAAAGAGAGCACTCTGCAAATCACAAAAATCCCCAAGAAGAGCATCCTTGGCAAATTTCAGAAGACTTGACCTAAATCCAAGAGCTCCCAGACACCTCGCTTATCTCTCATTTAAATGTCCTATGTTGATGTCACCCAATAACACCACCAATTACAGAATGTTTCTAACTTTATATGACTTTATAGGCCAACTCTTACTAAGACAGACTCAACTTACAAAAGACCCACAATATCTATGAATGCCGCTGACCCGCTGCTGCCACCAGAGGAGCTCGTTTCCTTTATCAAGCCCTGTGGAGTCAGACGGGAAGGAAGGAAAGACGCTATGAAAAGTGGGCACAGCTTTGGGGAGCTGATTACAAGGGGCTGCTTCTCAGGCAGGTCCTACTGTGTACCTGGTAGCTCCTACCTCATATCAGCAAATAGCCACCCCCTTCACAAACTTCCTAAAGGTTTTCACTTCAACTGGTTAGGTTCCCTAAAATTTCACCAACTGGAGTTCATTTGGGGCTGGAAAGCCTCCTCTTTTAATCGTAGATGTATTTTTGGGAGGGTGAGGAGCGATTAGTCCTTGGGTGGTACAAACAGTTAACGTGCTTGGCTGCTAACTGAAAGGTTGGAGGTTCGAGTCCACTCAGAGACACCTCAGATTAAAGGTCTGACAATCTACTTCCCCAAAGTCAGCCATTGAAAACCCTCTGGAGCACAGTTCTACGCTGACACACATGGGGTAGCCATTAGTTGGAGGCGGAGTCGACTCAATGACAGCTGTTTTTAAAGGAGCGATTAATCACTCATATAATGAAGGTGAACTGAGCTAGATGCTCAGGAGGTCTTAGAAGTTTGATTTTGATTGGAACAAGGAGAAATGAGGAAGCAGACAGTTTTGAAGAATGGAAGGTCACAGTGGCAGGCTTGGGAGAACATAACAGCACTAGATCACTGGAGGCAAAGGCCCAGGGGGATGGGAAAAGGATGAAAACATGTACAAGGCTGGAAAAGTCAGTTTAGGAACCACCTCTTTTAAACTTTCGCTTTGGGTTTTCCTTGCACCCCCAAAATGGGGAGAGAACACCCTTTTCCTTCTGCTTTCTGGACCTAGGACTTCTGGCAGAGCTCTAATGTAGCTCTGCTACATGTGGGTTAAATCAGTCTTTGTGGACTGGCCTAGAAACCTGACCACCACATATATAACAGTTTCTTTGGAGGAAGGCATTCCAAGTTCCAAATTGTCGACTTGTAAATTTTTAGGACACACCTCATTAGTAAGTTGAGGAATGCCTGTATATTAACATGCCCCCCCTTTTGTTAAATTTGTAAAAACCCTTGTAAATAACAATGTCTAATTATGCAAACCTGACAAATGTAATAATGTTTATTTGTTCAATGATCCAGGAAAGTTTAGCGATTTACAAGCTCTTCACGAAGTAGAGTGTTGGTGCGGGGCTTGGAATCCTTCATATTGAAATCCTGTGAGAAGCCTAGGATGAAGAAGGTACACTTACTGTTTTCTCTTTCTCCCACCCAGGAGAAAAGAGCTCCAAGATTTGAATCTTCTCTTGGTGAGGGAATGGAAAAGCTCACTCCAGTACAACAGAGGGTTCTACCTGGACAAGAAATTAGTAAATGACTTTACCTCTGAGGATGACCAATCTCCAGGATTATTCAAGCTTCACTCCAGCATAAGGGGGTTCCTGGGAAGTAATCTCCAATAAGCTTTCCTGTTACCCAGCTATCACCAAGAAAGCCCATTTGAATGTAAACTGCAATGGATGTGAACCCTGAAGAAGGATAGAGAACCACCTCCAAGTTTAGTCATTCTAAAATAGCAGGCCCAACTTGGACTAAGATAAGAAGGTCTCTCTTTTCACAGAAAAAAAAGTAGCAGGCACTTTGTTTTCTTTTTCATTTCGTTTGAATCTCTAGAAAGTATTTAATGAGCATAATTTATAACTCAGATACTATGAGATTAGAGCCAGGAAAAAAAAATATTCCAGCAAAACATACATCTGAATCCCAGTCCACTGTGAACTCAGTTGCCTGGAATGCATAGGGAACAGGGGGGAGAAGAGTCTGGTTAATTGTGTTGTTTTGATAAGTGAGGACTAAGAAGAAGTTCCTTTGTTTTTTATTCCTTGTTGTTCAAAATCTTCCCAAAACTGTCATGGTCTCTTTTCCTGTCCAAGGAAGGACAGTCTAGGCAACATAATTGAATCGTCCTTGCTAGGTGAGTATTTCAGTGGGCCGCAGGGTCATATTCTGAACATGACGGAATAGATCTAAGAGATATTGTCAGGGTAGAAGATATGGAAGTCATAGGTTGAACTGAGCAATTCCCTTAGAGTTTTATATTTCCCTTCCCTTCCCCTGCCCACCTTGCCTTTCAAATCCTTACCCCTACCCCTGAAATAAATCCCTTTAAACATTTGTTTTTACTTTATGCATTTAGTTTTCCAGATTCTGCTTTCAAGGGGTTATTGGCAGTGGCTTGCCACAGTCACATGGACCAAAGCAATAAGGCTTAAGTCACAGGCATGTTTAAAATAGTTAAGCAAGCTTTTCCCTCCTTTTATTATAAGAAATAATCTCTTTATTAAAACAGCTGAACCTCAATACATCAGCCAGTAAAGCAGTTAATTCTTTTAGAACAAGCTTTTTAAAAGAAAGAAATGCCTAAGGTATAATGTGCTACCTTTCTCACTAATATTTTATTTTTCCATTATCAACTCACCCTGAATCCGAGCTTAGAGTCAAAAGCACTTCCCAATAGTTTTTTTTTTTTCCCTCAAACTTCAATCAAAGCACCCTCGGACTACT